ATGGCCGAGTGAATTCGCACAGCAATACCACAACAGGCAGCTGGAAGACACCCTCGGAGCCCGGTATCTTAGCTCGGTGAGCGTTCTCGAACTTGTCAGATAGCTGAATCGCCCTTAGGGCGCCCTCGTCCCAAGCGTCGTCGAGGTCGTGGTGCGCGTCGTCGTCGTCCGTTCGTCGTGAGCAACGGACGGTGTAGTGTGCCGCGCCGCTTGGCTTGCCTTGTCGCGCGAAAAGATCGGCATAGATCCATCCTATGACTCCGGACTTCTCGTCTACGACTTCCAGCTTCCGAACGTCGGGATGCCACACCTCGCCGGGTGTGACTTTAGTAAGGCGAAGGGTAATGCCGTAGAGATTACGGAATAGGCGTGATAGTCCCATGAAGACTGTACCTAAGGTAAGTGGGGGAAGTGAAACAGGTGGAGCTGGCGGCTCGGGAGGGCAGTAGTAGTCTCTATCCCAGGCCTGTATTGTAGGGAATGGCGACGTATGTAGATGTTCTTGCTTCCGTAAACTGAGAGTGCGCAACGCTCTGCGAGCGTGGGGTCGCGTATGGTCTAAGAGAGCATTCAGGAAATGCGCGACGTTTTCTGGTAGTGTATCAGGTCAGTAGATCACCGTCATACATGGTACAGAGCTTACCAGGAGACTTCGCCATTTTATCGGCCAGGGTCATATGGGCGAAGCTAGGCTTCCCAACCAAACGAGCCAATTCGCCGCGGGCGTGGAGAAGGTCCTCTAAAATCCCGATTTGCCCTGATGTGCTCGAGTTGGCAGCCATGTAGACTTTTCGTCGCGGCTCTTCCTCCGGTGCAGAGTGCATGATCATCTGTGCTTGCAAAGATCCGGGGTACACAACTAGATCTCGCTGGGTAAACTGCGCTTGAAGTCGCAGACGTGTCCCCATAGCCTTGTCCTTGAGTCCAGTAAGCTCATGTGGCTTGATGACAGCTGGTGGGCGTGAGCTAGCGGTTTCATTCAGGAACTGCCGTCCAAGGTGCAGGATCTCTGACGAGAGGGAGACATATTTATTCCTTTTGTCTGGAGGTAGGTTGATCCCGGACTTCTCGAAGTCCCTCCAGAAAATAAGAGCAGTCTCGCGAGCTTCTGGCCCGAGCGACTTGAACACTTCGGGGTCGGACAGAACAGCTCGCAGCACCTATGTGGACAGTTGAATGACATATCAGCACTTTATTAGATCGTGGACATACGTGGTACAAGTCAACATCAGTATTTAGGACGTTCATGAACTCGCACATCTTCTCGTAGACATGCTCGGCACTCTGCGTCCATTCGGGGTCAGGATGAGCATTCCTGACGAGCTCAGCAAGGTCTATGACGCCGCATAGAAGATCACTGAGCCTGTCCAGGTGCTTCACGACCTTGAAAAGCTCCTCCCGCGAATCCTTGGACTTGTGTATTCTGTGAGTGAGAAGTTGCGCGCGGCACAGAGTAGAGTCCGCCAATTCAACGAAGGCCATAGGAGTAGTGAGAAATTCATGGCCAAACATACCAGTCCGCGCAAGACCAGAACTGGGCTGTGTGAGGTAGGGGATGTCGAAGTCGGCTATGATGTCCACATCATCACCAGTCGCGGGTGAAGGTGCACTGAGGGTGGTAGCTGTCCGTGCGCCACGAGATAGAGTTGCCTTTTTCGCCTGAAGACAGCCGCGGAAGCTGAAGGTCTGGCGAGACTGCTTTAAGAGCACATTTCGTGTGGTACGTGCGAGCATAAATACAAGAGGGAGTGAGTTTTATGCTAAGCAGCACACAAGGCGCTTAGAACTTGAAGACTTTCGCAGATCAGACCAAGTTCATGACGGAAACCGCCGAGCCAATGAAAGCTCGCGCAGAACAACGCGAGAACAGGCGTCGCTCTCAGAATGGATGCAGGTCAATTCCACTTGAAGAACGGAAAATAGCGGCGGGAAATGCAATTCATGAGTTCCGTAATTTATGATGTACAGTAAAATTATGCAAAGGGTATTTGGTAGGTGTAAATGAGTGTGGATGCAGTACGACGAACATGTGTGAAAGCAAGAAGTGACGGAGGATACTAGCCAAAACATACACGCGTGGCACTAATTCTACGAATCGTCCATACTAGGCTCGGGTGATGAACTGTTT